ACTAAATAAATTTTGTTGAACAGAACACATGATGGCATAACTGCTAAGACCATGGTAAAAACATAATAAAAAAGTATTGTTCTATTTATTTCATTGCTCATGCTTTTTTTTAATACAAATGAACTTTGACATTCCATGAGAAAGATATGATCGTGATTTTCAGTTTTAATTTACATATCTCAAGCAAAAATATATATAAAAAGATTTGACTTAACAAATTCATATTTAAATACCATAAAATTCTACAAATTTCTTAATATCCGTCATTATACTTTTAAATAGTATACTTATCACATTCTTTTTAAAGTGAAAAGTCACTTCATACTGATTCACTTCAGATTTTAGCAGAAGTGCATATTTTTTCAGTATAATCTAAAAGTACTCTATAAACCCCTTACACTCCCAAGATTTCTATATAACATTTATCCTGACGTGATTATTTGCTATAGTAAATAATCTTCGATATCGGCATCCTATTCTTCCTTCCATACATTAAAAATGGAACAATTAAAATACATTTTCTTAGACATATACGCATAATAATAATAATAATAAACTTGCCATACATCTTAGTTTCAGCCCACCCAGCAGCTGAGCGGTAAAGTCGCTGAACACTGGTAGTTCGGTCCGAATCCCGCGAACGGGGCTGGCTGCATGGGCGTTTTCGTGGTTTTTCCTCATGTGTAATGTGTATACGAGCCAGTTTTTACCTGAGAAAGTCCTCCAAGAAGGCATCACACCTATTACGCAGATAGCCCTAGTGTGCTTTGCCATAATTAAATACACCACCCAATCTTAGTTTCAATTCAGCCTGTACACAATTAAATATTTTTAATTACTAATGTATTTTTATCAGGTTGTTTCTTAAAATACTTTTGTTATACTCAAAATATGTGTTCAATATTAAATTATTTTTCTTTCTCTTATAATTAAAAACAAGTTATATGGAATCAAAATTAAAACATATGCAGCAGTTAAATAACACTGAAGAGATTACTTCTACTTAACTCTTTCGCTATTTGTATTCCTACCACAATACACAGATTTGTTTTCCTTCAGGAGTTCAGCTAGGTGTAAGTTCACTTAGTTATATCAATTAAATTACATCAGACATATGCATCAGTTAAATAACACTGAAGGAAATATGTTGCTCGCTCATCGATGTTTGCATCATAGTGTGGTCGAGAAATTGTTCTTTCCTTCATGGTGAAGCATGTATCAGTTTTACTTAGTTCTCAATGCTTAAACCCAGACATTGCTTCAATACATAGAATTACTTTTGGGATGTAAAGAAAGTAAACCAAAACATGTGAATTAACTTGGATAAGCGAATTTATCAACTAATCATTCAGGTAGTCACTATTGGTAAACACGACACTGAGATTAAATATCTCGCTATAAGTCTCCTTCATAAAAGGAAAATTATGATAAAATGAATAGCACATATTCTGGCATTTTCGATGTTGAAATTATTTGCTCTTTTGCAGCGAATAGTCCATAACTTACGATCACTTGGAAAACGATGGTATGTGATTGCCTTGACTTTTAGTTTTCCTTCTATAATTCTGACACAACGCTATAACACAACTTGCCATTTCCGACTAGGTATAAAAGCAAATTAACAACACAAATCAAATGTATCCCAGATCAAATGCAACGAATGTAAACAAACGCCGAGAACTAACGACTGTCACCCACATGACGTCATGCGCAGGTGGCATAATTTTCTCCCTGCACTACGCATCGCTCTTGGGCCCCCCCCCTGCTCGCGGACGTTATTCACAACATTTTAACTCAACTACAGGCCTTTGCATAATAGCGCTTAATTTGATTTATTTTTGTTGAGATATTTGTAATCGCATTCTTATTGGTTAAAAAGAAGTATAGCTATCTGTCACGCCGATGCATTAGCTTTCTGTCAGGTCCGATGTATTCTGAAACTTAATCCCATGCTATTTGTTTATATTTTCTCTATGTTATTTTTCATTGGTTGTTTTATGTGTCTTGTTTATGATTTGTTAAAATAAGATCTGCTGTAAAATTATATATATAACCTCTGTAAACTTTTTTCACAAGACTATTTGTAGCTTTTTGAAAACTGGGTGACGCTGTGGAAAATTGCCGTTAACACTGACAAAACCAAAGCCATTATTTTCAGAAAAGGGTAAACAAACTTTCTTCCGCCTAATCCCATTATCTTTGACGACGATATTCAGTGGACAGATCAAGTGAAGTATCTCGGAGTCACACTTGACAAAAAACTCACTTTTCGGCAACATTTACGCGAAACTGTTAGGAAATTCAATATCTCAACAGCTACTATGTGTCCCCTCCTCGGCAGACTAAGTATCAACAATAAACTTGTTTTATACAAGTCCATCCTTAGACCTACTTTACTTTATGCCAGTAAGGTATGGAGACACGCCGCTAAAACCCCACATAAAAAAGATCCAAGTTATTCAAAATAAAACCCTTCGTGAAATTATTAATGCACCCTGGTTCATCCCAAATTCACATATTCACAGAGATCTTCAAATTGATGCTATACAAAATTGTATCAAAAAACTTGCAACAAATTTTTTCCTTTCTGTACTATTACACCCAAACAGCTGTATCAGTTCTTTATGATGCTCACCTTTTCCTAGAGAAAAACACAAATATCCTTTGAATATTCTTACCTAGCATATTGATAATTATTTGAACCTTACTGATTACCTTACTAATCCAACTTTTTTTATCACATTGCATGTCTATTTTCATTCATTACATCTTTCTTCGCCGACTGATGGCGGCTAAGTGAAATATCTCGATTCTGCTTCTCATCCTTTTGTTGTTCCAGACATTCTTTTATCTGATGCAGAGTAAAAGCACACTATCGCTCTCTTTCCATTCGACACAAGTCAAGTTCATGCTCTGCGTGTTTACTCTGTAATAAAAGTTTGTTTTTCGAACCACAGCATTTTAAATGTTCAACAATTTTTTATGCAAATATCAATCAATTTATTTTATCAATCCGTGAGCCGGATTAAAAACAAACAAACGGTGGCCCGGATTTAGGCCACGGGCTATAGTTTGCTGACCTTTGCAGTAGAACATGGTAATTTCAAATAAAATGCAACTCTTTTTAATAGAAATATTGATAAATGTTTATTTGGATCATTTCCAAGAAAAGTTATCTTTGACAGTTGTAATTTATCCTATAGAGTTTGCTTTAAAAAAAATCTAATTTTATAATTCTGATTTGAGGAATTTTAATTGTATAGAAATATCATCAACAATTATGGTTAACTTTCATACTGTAAGAATGCTGAGAATTCTTTGTAAATTTCATTGAAACTACTGTGAAGTAGTGACACAGAACATAGATAACTAAGTTCTAAGTTCACTAAATCATGCTTCATAAAAACTACATTATAGGTTGATTTTACGCAATTTTCGTGTAATAATGTTTCAGAAATATGATCAGAATGCTGTGTTGTAGAAGAGTATTTTGCAGTTTTTGTACTATGTTGTACTGAAATCTTGCTCTCAGCAGAAATGTTTTTTTTTTCCCTCCAGAGGTGGGGCATTTTGCTACTTAAGCATTGGTTGGAAAAGGCCGAGCCTATCGTTCATTTAGTCGTTTCATATCTGAGAATGTTGCCCTGCCTACATCACAAAGAATGACCAATTTTAAACCCATCCATCGCAAGGAAAAAGGGAAAATCCATCGCAAGTTTCATGGAGAACACCCCAGGATCTCCCACCTCTTTTCCCTAACACCGGTTTGTCGAAAGAATTTTCAGCTGGCCAGTATTCTAAGTGCCTCCGTCCATGCAGCACAGACACAATATACTTACAAACATCCAAGCCTTCTCGAGGATTCAAATCTGGATCCAACGATACTGCAGTCAGCTTTGCTAACCACGGCGAAAAGAGCAGTGAAAAATGTGTTATAGGAGAGATAGAAGAGCTGCTTTAATCTCTCAGACTGCTTAGTTAGTTAAATGAGTGCAGTTATGTTTTATTACCATATTGATATTCCAATATTTTAAAATTTTTATTTATAATGGAGTTTTATTTATAATGGAATGTTTTTAAACTAATTAATATAATACTTGCCACGTTGAACTGTAAATTGCTAGTAAGAAGGAAAATTTGTGAAATTGTGATTTTTTTCATCTACAATTTCTGTTAGTCAGAAATAATTTTTGTATTAAATAAACTTTTCCTTACACTTAAAAAAATAATCGTTTCTAGTTAAAAATTTGATGCTTTATTTTCTCTCTCATTAATATTTAAATACCATCTATTTTCATTGTGATATCTTGGCTATGAGATTCTATATGTATACAAAAAAGAAGCTATTAATTCATAATTTCGTGGAAAAAACTACTTGAAAGATTCAATTAAGATATAAACAAGTGAAGAACAAGTGCAGTGTTTCATCAGGTTCATCTGTTACTAAAAAAGTAATATAAAATCGCTTACATGATACATATTCAGTGTTCAGATCAGGCTTCTACTAATAAACACTCTTCCCAGTAAGAGTTTCTTTCTAATTAAGTTGCCATCTTGTCTTTAATAATTTATTCAAAGGAACACTAATATACATTATTTACAAGATAGGTGCTAATTATTTTAAGACAGCCTTCTCATATATTGCATTTTAATTGTTTTTCTAAAGCAGAAGTTTTGTCTTTAGGCTCCTCAGAGAGCCTTCCAATCTAGTCTCGTCCTCAGATCTCAATTAGAGAAGGAAAAGGGAAGAAAGCCCGCCATCTAGTGGCAAGAATGAAACATGCAGTAAGCATGATATTGTACTAGCTTTCTAGTTTAAATTATAGGTGCCTCAATTTATGATTAAACTTCAGATTTGGGGGATAAAATACTTCCATTTGTCTTTGATGTCATATCTTTGTGGTTGAAACATTAATGTGCGACAGATATTTTTAATAACTTTTGTGAAATAATTATTACATTATGTTTTAAATTAAAAAAAATATTTGTATTATTTACAGATTGTTGATTTATCATTGGAAGTAAAGAAACAGGCGTTTTCATGTTCTCTTGCTGCAGTGTCTAACTTTAGTAAGAGTATTGAAGAATCATTTGAGGATACTGATGGGGAGGACTTTCAGGATATTAATGGAGAAGAAAGTGATGATAGTCCTGTTACAGATAGTATGTATCTGAAATCAGAGGCTCCTCATGGTATTAAAACTAAGGTTAGAGATTCAGGAATTATTGATATGGCTGATGGTGAAAGCGACTCGTCTTCTGAATGCGAACTTCAGGAAGATGAAGATAATGAATATGATGGAAATTCTGATACCGAAAGCTCATCTGATGAAGAGAATTCTAACAAAGGTAGTTCAGATGAATCATCTGACGAGCTGTCTGACAATCATGTGACTGATGATGGTGAAACTGAATCTGAAAATAGCAGCTCTGATAATGAAGGTGCTGTCGATGATGAGAACATAATCGGGAATAAAAATGTGTCTGAAGATGAAGATATGTCTGATGCTGAAAATATGTCTGATAATGATGAGGATAATGCATCCAATGATGAAGAAATGGCTGGAATTGAAAATGTACCCAATATTGATGAGGATAGTGCATCTAGTAATGAAGACATAGCTGATTTTGAAAATGTACCCGATAAAGATGAGAATAATGCATTCTGTGACGAAGACATAGCTGGTACTGAAAATGTACATCATAATGATGAGGATAATGCATTCTGTAATGGAGACATAGCTGATGTTGAAAATGTACTTGATAATGCATCCAATGTTGAAGACATAGCTGACGCTGAAAATGTGCCCGACAATGATGAGGATAATGCATCCAATGATGAAGACATAGCTGGTGCTGGAAATGTACTTTATTACGATAATGCATTCAATGATGAAGACATAGCTGGTGCTGAAAATGTACTTTATGACGATAATGCATTCAATGATGAAGACATAGCTGGTGCTGAAAATATACTTGATAATGAAAACGATAATGCATCCAATGATGAAGACATAGCTGATGCTGAAAATGGATCTGGTGATGAAAATAATGAATCTAGTGATGAAAATATATCCAATGATGAAGCCGCTTCTAGTTCCGAAAATTCAGAATCATATGAAGAAGAATGCGATTCTGAGGAGGAAGAGGCTGTCGAAGAAAATAAAGAAGGTTCTGATGAAAACGAATGCGAAGATAGTTCTGATGAAAAATCTGAAGATACTAGTGAAGATTCTATGAATGAATCTGAAGAAGATTCAACGGAAAGCTCTGACTCATCTCAAAATAATTCAAAAGAAAATTCACCTGAAGCAAAAATATCAGACGAAGATTTCGATAATAAAGGAGAATCTTCGTGCCTTGTTCAGAAAGAGAATGTTACTGGCAAAGAAAAATCTCCGGAGGCAGAAGATTTTCATAAAACATCTGTTGTGCCCGAGTCAGATGAAGTATGTCAGAAAGAAGATTCACACCATTTGACTAAAACAGACTATATTTTTTCTCTAAATGAACCTGGCATTAGTGACATTTCAGATGCTGAGTGTCCAGATGCAAGTCAGAAGTTAGATGTCCAAGACAAACAAGCTTGTGGTACATGGACTGAGATGAGTAATATCCAGGAAGAAATTCCTGTTGGAACCACTCTCCATGGACCTTCTGACTTGAATATAGCTGTCACATATGAAGAACCATCTATGGAAGTCGTTAGTACATCACATTTTGCCACGGAAGACACTGAGAAAGTTCCTGACTTTCAGGTAAGTTTGGAAAAATTTATCGTTTAGTCTTTTAATACTGAATTTTAAAAAATATGCATTCCCTATTGAGAGCTTATAATTACTCTGGCTTTTTATATCGCTTTGTTGCATGTTATAGTAGAAAAATCATTAAATGTAATTAGATTACTGAGTTCTTATTTGTTGTATATCTGTATGTATACTCATATGCTGTATACTTTAAGTATATCTTACATGTATACTTATATGTATCACTCGTACGTATATTTATATTGTATGAGTGTAAAGGAAGAGTTCTTTAAAACAATTCTAACTCATAGACATATATTAAAAATTTCTACAACGTTAAGTCCATTTCAAACTGCATGGTTTTATGACATTAAATTTTTCAAACTGTATAGTTTTATGAAGTTACATTTAAAGTACTGTTGCGTGCTTATGGTTTCATAATAGATTGAATGCAGAAGTCCGATAAAAAGTTAATAAAATTTATTCTTATCACAAGAAATATAACAAAACGCTGGATGTTTCCTCAAAGATATTCATCCAGTATCGCATTATCATGCAATATACTCAGTAGCTATATTTTAAACTACTAAAACATTAAATTGAACGCAATCCAAAGCGCAGAGAAAGCTAACCCGATCTCAGAAGCTAACTAAACAACTACTCGCAATAACAATAACCAAGCAACTGAGCTGAGATGTCCTCTTTCTGCCTTTTGTAGCTTTTTAAATCAGTCACATGAGACAGTTCTAGCAGTTTCTGGAAAGCAAAAAGAGTAGAATTACGGTTACTGCTAACATAGTAGTCAATTACATTTATTCAAATATTCAATGCTAAATGCACGTGCTCTTGTATTTTTAGTTTTCCGCCGTAGCTTTCTCTTAAAATTTGTCACGCGCTGCATTTCACGGGGAAATAAAACAATTTTAACTATAATTTTATTAAAAATAATCTAACTAAATACAAAATTCATTACACTGCCCTCTTCCCAAGGACTGCACGTCCTGGGCAGTACAGTCCCTGAACAGGAAGCCAAACTTACAACTAAAGCATGAATGCAATAATACACATTACAGTACAATAACAAACAACATAAACAATAAGCAACATAAAACAACGCAATAAGTAACTTAAAAAGTAAATCAAATACTAAATCAATAAATGAGGGCACAAATTTACAAATTTAGAAACAAATATGACCATTGTCTTACTATTTACGTTATATACACTATGTACTATTATAGTAAGGAGATAACCTGTCGTAATGAACGACTTTAGGCTTAGAGTTCGATGACTTACGGATCCGAACCACTACATCGTTCAGCCTGCTCAGAACTGTGTATGGACCATCTCAAGGTGACTTTAGTTTAGGACAGAGTCCTTTTCGTCGAGTTTGATTCCACAATCATACCTTGTCTCCTTCGTTGAATCGATATCAAGTAGCTCTCGTTTCGTATCGGGTCTTCATCTTCTCCGTCGCCAAGGTGACTCGATCTCGAGCAAAATTGAGCATCACTTCAAACCGGGCTTGGCGATCTTGGATGTATTCCTCAGGCGATGAAGACGCATCCAGAGGGCGACCAAGCAAGAGATCACAAGGCAGACGAAGGTCACGACGGATGATCATCTGGGATGGAGAATAGCCGGTAGTCTCGTGTTTCTCTTCGATCCTTGTATGATTTCGGCAGCTTTCTGAGCAGGGTCTTTCAGACAAGGCATCGGCGTTTACAGGTGAGAATCCCTTCTGATGATGGATAGTTATGTCCTCTGATGCTGAAAGCAGTTTGTAGTTTTTGAAGTCCAAGGGAAAACTATACTTCCTTAAAAAGTCCAATCCGAGTATAAAAAGATCTGTAATATCTGCCACATATGCCGTTTGATAGTAGGTAGCACTTCCAAACGTGTTGTTAACTTTTAACTTCCCATCTATATCGATTTCATCACCAGGCGCAGTACAGGATGGCGTTCAAATGAGTTCATCTTTAAACTTTTGAGCTAAATCTTTCCGAATGGTGGTAACATTCGCTCCTGTATCGATCATCATATTGCAAGAAACTCCATCGATATGCCCATTGATAAATAGTCCATTACTGTTGCAAATCACTGCAGAAATCTTGAGCGCTTTAAAATGTGGTTTGTCACTATTGTTCAAACTCCGTTCTGCGATATGGTCATTAATTTGTTTCCTACGTCATTGCTGGGGAATGGTCTTATTTTCCGTGTCCTGGGGGTGTTCTGCAGTTCCTTCGTACGTAGCCTTCAGCTCCGCAGTTCCAACACTTTGGTTTCTTGTGACTCCTTTTCCGTCTCATGATATTTAATTGTCTGTTTAAATCGTCTGTCTTATTTTCCGTGCTCTGGGGTATTCTGCAGTTCCTTCGTCCGTAGCCTTCAGCTCCGCAGTTCCAGCACTTTGGTTTCTTGTCACAAATATTCCGTCTCAAGACACTGATTGGTCTTGTCAAATCATCTGTTTTATTTTCTGTGCCCTGGGGTGTTCTGCAGTGCCGTCTATGTGGCCTTCAGTACCACATTTCCAACACATCAGAGCCAGTTTTTCTCACTCCTACTCCGTATCAAAGCATTGATTTATCTGGATAAATCATCTAAACCCATCACTTGATCCACTGGCTCATGGACTTGCGCAGCTATGATTGGATGTCGGTCTCTACGAGTTACTTCTGGACTACCTCGAATTTCATGGCGTACACTAGAGCTCTTTTTAAATCCTTGAAATCCGCTATTCATAGAGCTTTCTGTATTTCAAGATCCCGGATGCCGTCGATGAAATATTGCAGGGACGGTATTTTCCCTGTTTCTGTCGGGCATTGCGAAAAGTCGAGATGAGACAGCCTTTCCATATCCGTGGCAAGTTCCTGGAGAGTTTCCGTGGGCTTCTGTTGACGGGATTTTAATTGAAGCCTCGTGTAGTCTTCTAAGCGCTTGTCCCCAAAGCACAGTTCCAACGCCCCAGATAGAGCTTCGAAATTTAGCCTCTGGTTTCGGGAAGAGTCTGAGGGATATCCGAAGCGTCTGCTCTCAGAGAAGCGGTGAGATGACAGGCCTTAGCTTGGGGATCCCATCCATTTGCTTCCGCCAGTATAGAAAATTGTGTCTTATACACTTTCCAGGAGGTCTTCCCATCATATGTGGATAGCTTCAGAGACGGATGAGTAGGCATGGATAAAATTTTAAAACCCCCAGAATTGCTTCCGTCTGTCGCTAAGCATTTCTGTAATGTAGGGGTCTTCAACCTTTCATGCCCGAAGGCCACATCAATAAATTCAGAAAGATCCACGGGCCACATGTCTATAGGGAAAGGAAATTAGATAACCGTAAATTAAAAATTTCGCCAAGTGAATTATTCTTGGCGCAAACTGAAAAACTGCGCCAAGATAAATTTTTAAACTTCTCTGAAGTTTCCCAGCGAATATGGAGAAAGTTAATATTTATTCATGATTTGAGTGGTAGAATCAATAGATTCAGAAAACATCGGTCGGGAGATATAGAATTTTTTTCCAGAGTGTATGGTGTTAAAAATTATTAAACATTGTTGTATTAAAAAGTCGCTTAATTAAAGAGAAAAATATATTGTTTAATTAATATTTATTGAGTAATTTATTAAAATGTGATCAAAAAGTAAAAATAAAATTATTTATAAACTGAATATTTTGCTGGTGGTGATATCAATGGACTATTTATAGTACAATGAAACATTTTCATTTTAATTACAATATGTTTTTCAGATGTATGTTGTTATTCTTAGTATATTTTATTCAATATATTGAAATATATCATTGATTATTAATGTAATTGGTTATAAATCGTATTATTTTGTTATTTATATGAAAATTGAAATGTGGAATGATTCTATAAATTTTCAGCCTTAATGCAGACTTTCCTTTTAGGGTACGGCAACTGGGAAATCCCTGTACGAGACAATAGAAGACTTTGAATCTCAGCCATATGGTGATGATGAAGGACAATCTATTCTAGTAAAACCTATTGACGTGGATGCTGTGTATGAAGAGGAGATTCATCCAAGTAACTCAACCTATATCCCTAGTGCTTCCGCAGCAAATGAAACTTACGAAGAGATGGACGCATCGCAGTCAGATAGTAGTGCTAATGCTTCCTCGTCAGCCTCAGAACCACTGGAAGAGGATACTGACTCAGATCCAGTTCCTTCTCCACAGACTTTCTATAGGCAGTCATTCAAACCCTATCCATTTACGCCTTCGAAGTTCCCCACTCCAGTTTTTTCACACGATCCTGAACTTGATCTTGATACTTGTTCTCTTGAAGAACAGGTTAGGTGACTTCGTCTTTCTAATCCCCTTTGCAACTTAAATGTTCACATATTTTTAGATTATGCCTCATTTCTCAATGTTGCTTCCTCTAGAGACGTCATAAAAATAACAACTCAAAATAGAAGAAAGAAACAAAAACTAAATTTTTAAATATAATGACCCTAAACATGCTTTCAATATTTGAAATAAAATATTATTATAGTAAGAGTGATCCTAAGAAGGAAAGCTTTTGGACTTCCCAGTAACATTTGTCACGATACTTTCAAGGCTGGGAACAAAATAATAGACACCTGCCGCAACAGATACCTCCAGAACAGAACATATAAGTGGCACTTGTGCCCGCAATATTCACAGCTACAGACTGACAAATGTAAATAATAGTGTAACTATCACAGCCGCAACCACGAGCGCAAACACGCATGCGTCATTCAGAACGATTTATTCATAAAATAAGGAAGATGGACATGGATCATGAAACATTTATATGAGTTTATTAGGGGTTTTTTTTTTCTTGTTTATTTTCGCAGCATTCAAAGAACACAGAATTAAGGCAAAAATAATTTTAAGTGATAAGCTAAAGTATGATTATCATTCGTACTGATTCATTACATTGTGTATTTATTAGTTATTGATAAAAATACAAGTGTTTTGCCAAAATGTGAGAAAGAACACAGAACAAGCTACTGCAAATTGTCAGGGTTCTTACGGTAGACAATACAATAGAGCAGGCATTGCCAAACTGTGGCTGCCAGGCTTCTTAAGAGCGGGCCGCAAGCCATATGAGGTTTTTTTATCCTTAAAAACGACTCGCATACAATAAATAGTATGTTTATTAAAATACTATTGCAGTTGTGTCAGAAATCTTGGCACCAGTTACAGCCGAAAACATCGCGGCAGAAACATTGCGTACGAAAATGTCGCGGAGAAAACAACGCAAGGCGAAAACGTCGGGGGAGAAAACCATCGTGGTCGAAAATAAAGCTGTTCAAATACTTCTCAATTTAAAAGCGTCGTCGTCGAAAACATCGTGGTAAAAAATAAAGTACCTACAAATCATTGCATGACGATAACATCGCACACGTGCGTTCTTGAAATCCCATACTGACATATTATGTAACTGACTTTCGTCATAATTAACAAATCGGCATCCAAAATTTGATTGCACGCTATACATGAAAATGTTAACGACACTTTAAGAATAAACGGAAGGAAAACAATGTATAATTTTCATTAAAACAATATCAGATTAACAAATGTGAAAGAAATTAATTTGATCATTAACTCAGCAATTTTTATAGAGGTAAAAAGGCATTCCAAAAGGGAAACTGAAAGGAAATGATTGATTTTCAATCTGAGGGGAAAATCTTCTGTTGCATCTTACAATACTGTAAAAATTTTATATCGTAGAAGTAAATTTTACTGAATATAGAGCGGCAAAAATAAGATTTACTTATACATATAAATGTATATACCCATATTAATTACATAAAAAATACGAAATTTTCATTTATTCCTTCTAACGTTTCTTTTTATGAAAATCTGTTGCATCACATTACGAAATTGTGGCTGTTGGAAAATCTAGTTGTGGCTTTCGAAATTCCTTTATCTTTAAATACGTTTGTCGTATAGCCAGCCCTCCAATAGAGCATAAAAGCTCATGAATTCACCAGCTTATCTACATAATATTCCAGAAGACGCGCAGCATGGAACTCGGAATTCACTACTGCCATTTAAAGAAGTAGGCCAAAGAAAGCTGTTCTAATTTTAAACTCAGCCCAGAATTCTTCCCCGCCTCAAATCCTTTATCCATTCTGAGGATAGGCTTTACTGTATGCGATATATATAATGCCTGTTATCAGAGTGTCGTCATTACCTACTCAAGCAGTCCGCATCAACTGTGCTCGCAACTCTACCTTCTTCCACCTCATTACCATTTCATGGATTGACGTATTTATGACGTGTGCAAATTTACCGGGTTATAGCACACATCAGCTTTGATCATAGCTTTACCTTCTTCCATCTCGTCACCATTTCATTGAATGACGTATTTATGATCTATGCAACACTGCGTATGATCGATACTCGTATAGCATAGGTACAACGTAGGAACGAAACCAGCATGCAGTGGGCATTGCATAATATAGCCAAAAATTGCAATTAGAACAACACATAATTGAGAGGGAAAGAATCTGATTATTTCTAGGGTACCTGTATCAGATCTTCAACAGCATAGAACCGACACGGCATATAGTCGAAACCGGTTTTTGAGATGTCTTGTCGATCCTGTTCTACATTACCGATTTATGATGGGGTACATGATCCTGTTATTGACAGATCTTAAACCTCAAAGTCACATTACATTTTCCAGTCTATGGCCGCAAATTTTGTGGATGCAATTCTTAAGGCGCATTCTGAGGGCTGCTAAATGGCACACTTTTTTTCATATGCTTGGTCGTGCTTAAAAGTTTCGTGCCACTGTGTTTGGGGAGTCCAATGATTTTCTTTGTAAGCATAACATTGTATATAACTAATTATATCTATGTAAGATGTTAAGTATAGTTGTATACATATACACAGTTATGTAACTAAACTAGCAGCTACGCTGCCAGCCTTCGTCTGGCTTTTAAATGTACCGATAAAGTACCTGAAGGGAACACCAAACGTTAAATTTAAAAACTGCGCAGAATTTTACTCTGCAGAACAACTTCATTAAAAAAATTATTATTACTTATAACAAATTGCGGTGTCCACAATGCATGCTCTCTACTCCAGGCCAACCGCAGGCGACAGTGAGTTGCAGTAAGTGGAACGCATCTGACAGGTCTACGAGCATATAGACCAATCTGCCCTAAGCGTCTGTACACGGTCTGCCTTGAATTGTCGTACCAGTGGCTGAAGAGAGCTGACGAGACAGGTTTGAGGCTGTGCTCTGCCTGTTTCTTTTGGCAGTAACTGCCAAATACCGGTCCTCATTCGGCGTTGTAGCTCTGGGGCGACCTGTGCTGTAACGTCTACTCACATTACCATCATCTTGGAATCGTTGCCAAAGCCTGGAGATGACACTCTGGGCAATTCCAAGTTCGTCTGATACTTCCAGTTGGTACGCCCACATTCCAGACGGCCAATAATTCTACCACAAAAAAAAAAAAAAAAAAAAAAAAAAAAAAAAAAAAAAAAAAATCATCCAAATGCGTCCTTTGTGTCATAACTATTCGGTTATTGCACTGAAATGCTTATAAAACGCCTGCGAATAATTTTACTTCTTTGCCTGTATTCCTTATATATCATTCTCTTACACTCTCGTCATTGTGACGTACCATCGGTGTCATCTGGTTACTTCCTGAAGTTTGCATATGATTCTTGAAGATGTGTGTAGTGATTTTACAGGTGATATATTTATTTTAGAGTTCGATTTCCGCGTAACTCCGAATTATCCTTAATTTATGGACATGAGTGTAAATGTAAATGTTTAACTAGCTACTCATATATAAGTAATAAAATGTTTTACATTTTTGACAGCTGTTTAACTCTACATTTAAAATTTATGTAGCTGTTTAAATATAAAGCGGGTAAGGTTTAACACTAATACAATTGCTCAAGCGCAGTTGAACATCATTCTGCTTTCAATTCGTCAGTCATGTCCTCTTTATACTGCTAAAAATGTTTAATCCACCAGATTGGTGATACTGCTGCATCGAAGACTCTCCATACATTGACTTCAAATTTTGATTCCATTCTTTCCAAGTTTGATTAGAATTTTAACGCTAACTTGTTCTCAGTTAATATATTGTTCTTCATCTCAGTCATGCACAACTAAAGCCATTTGATAAAATACAGTCATTAGTCACATTACACGTTTCTCACAAAAGTAAAACTTATACTGAAGGCAAGGAACACTCTGGTTGTGCCTCGAATCTTTTTGTCATCGTTTTAATGTTGCAAAAGGGTTATTGAAATCTAAGGTGTACAAATCCTTTGTAAAATCAAGATGGTTCGCCGTAGTAGCCAATGCAATTCTTCCACTGAATAATCAACCTTATGGTTATTTCTTCATAAATTCCATTGCATTGCTAGTAAAATCATTTTTGGATATCAGTCTCCAGACTGGCTCGAAGAGAACCGTTTGTATGATATGGTTTTCCGTATGATGTAGTTGGGTTCGGATTGATAAGCATGTAAGTTTGTGACTATACTGTCTTACGAAATGAGGTAATTAAAATATTGTGTCGTTCTACGGGTTGGTGGATTTGGAATAATTGATGACAAAACTAGGTGAAGAATCAAAACACAATTTATTCCAGGACAGTTTCAAAGATACGTTACAGTCGTCAAAAAACTACGACCAACGCGCTGAAACAATCAGTAACACAGCCTTCAGCCTAACTTACTCTAACGGTAAAGCCAACTTAACGGCAAAGCACTAAAATACAGCTCCCGACTTGGTTGATCACTCGCAAGCTAACTTCAGAACTGTACTACTCTGCTACTGAAATCAAGGTACTTCTCTCTCTGCGTACGGCCAAGGTATATATAGTTTTAACCTGCCTTTCGGCAGCATTCTCAGAAAACCGATAAGAATTCGTTCTAGAATGTTCTCGTTCCGTCTCTGACATATCGCCAATTTTGTCGCCAAATAGGCGATTTTGCGCTGAATATGGCAACCCTGCTTGTCTGTCCTTAAACGCGCTCTGAGGGGAAGCTATTTTACCGCACCTGGGCATTTCGTAACAATATGTAGAACGGGTCAAAGTCTTTAGGCTTGGTGGGAAATAAAAAGGGATGTTAGATCCTTGAATTTCATTCCTCACATGCTTTCGATCAATACTAGAATAGATATTTCGATCAATACTAGATAGAATAGAGCGAAACAGACAGCTCTCGTGTACTTAAATAATCCATTCTAACTCGAAATGTATGCCACATATCTGGCTAAAAATGAAGAAATGGCAAGGCGATAAGTCAGAGCTGCAAGTTGTTGATATTAAGCTCACACGAACTCTGCTCTTAGGTGCAATTCTTTTTGTAATTACAGATTTAAAATGCAATTTTTCGTTATTTTAGCTCTCTAATGCCTAATGCCACATCTCTCTTTTTTTGCTTTGCTGCTCCATTCTTCTTATCAACTAACGCAAATTTTCTTATGCGTAGCCAATACAGTTCCATGAGCGTTCCGAAGTTCTTCTGAGTATAAATTAATGTGCATTTAGATACTATTCATTTGAATGATTCTTGTAGTTTTGTGATTATTAAAAGTAGGTATACTGAATAAAAAATATGCGATTAAAGAAAATTGCAGGTAATGTATTTGTAATAAGCGAATTATTTTCTTCTTCTCATAACCAGGTAATTAATTTCTTTAGCTCAAGAATTTAGAAAATTTTATACATTTCTCAAGAATTCTATATTGAAAATTAATAAAAGTTATTAGTAAAATTAGGTATATATTGCATAAACTGCAATAAATCCGATAATGTTATTTCTGGGTTTGCAGCTCTGTCGACAGGACCTACCAGATCTGGAGCCGTATGAAAGGGAACCTATTACTCCTTATGATATCGAAGAAGCCCTACGGCGTTTTCATATGCCTGTACAGCCAGCTTTGTTTTTTAAGGTGAGTACATGCAGTTTTTTTAAGTTGCTGGCAATGTAATGCAATAAGTAATTAGAAAAAATTCAGAATTCAGAATACGTTTAAAATCAATATTAATGTTAATTAATTTTCATAAATCTTATAAAATGAATTTTTTTATCTTTCTTCAAGAGAACTGCTTAATATTTTTCGTCTTTATAAGAATAAAAGCTAGAGATTGGTTCAACGAAAGCGACAGAGAATTCGTCAAAGGAAGCCAAAAGCTTCATGTTCTGTTAGACATCATATGTTCGATTTTGTATGAAATTAGAGTTTTAAATTATAAGCTGGAATCGGAATTGCAGTAATAAGGGATGCCAAACATAAGCTGTTTAAATTTGTTAAGAATTAGTAAATGAAGTTTGCTGGCTATAAAAAAGTCTAAGCTTTGGTGTAAGTTTAAAAAATTCGTAAAAGATTTAAAAGTTCAGAACTTGCCAATAAAGTATCGTAGTAATTAAAATACATCGGTTACTGGATTGAAACGTTCGAGAAAATAAGATTCTTTTGACTCTAGTCAGCTTTACCTCACATCCTAAGTATTTACTCTAGCTGAAAGCCTACAGACCTATAAACCCTATGTCCTTGATACAGCCATTGGGTATGAGAATTTTGTTTTTCGACTGTTTAATTCATTTAAGACGCGTTTGAAGTATATACTTGAAATAAGTTCAAAGACTTCTAATATTGCAGATAGTTTCGAAGAAATAAACTCTAAAAATATTCAAAATGTTATACTTCTCTTTGAGATTTAAAAAATTCAGCCCCTGAAATATAAATGACCAAAAGTAAGGCTACAGCCATTTCAGATTTTGCAAAAGTGTGTATGTAAAGAATCTGAAATTGCCCCAATGACGACAAAATCGTTTAACAGGAAAAACGGAGGGAAGGAAGTGATGTTGATACATTTGAGCTTGAGCAAGCAACTATAGAGGATGTCAAGAGACCTATTAATCAGTTATGATTATAAGTTAAGCAGGAAGAAAATAAATGCACTCTTTTTTCAGTTTTCTCCAATATATATCTGTGCTGATTTTGTTTATTTGCAATTAGTCAAAACTAACGGCAGAATACTCTGTACTTTAATGATATAAATACTAAAATAATCTTTAATGACAGCTCTGAGAAGGATGTAGGTCTGTCAGACAAGTTAGGTGTTTTAACTCCAAATATTTTCTCGAAACTGTTGATATCTTATTTAAAAAGAAACAACTGAAAATATTTTATGTACGCCAAAATTTGTATTTGAACGACTACAGCATAATAGTGAAAAGAAACGAAAGTAAATGCACTGTAACACGTTTTCATTTCATTACTGAGTAGGGTAGCTGAGGCCTAGTAGTAATAACTTTTGGGGAAATGTTTATATTTTTAAATGTGTTTACGATTCCTTAGAGTGCTAACTGTTAAGGAATATTCTGTGATATCGCCAAGAGATGGCGTTAGGAGTCCATCTATTGGCTTACTTAACCCTTCACCTTCTGAACACGTGACTTGAAAAAATATTCTTCTTGAAGGTAGATTCGACTTTCAGATTCACTACGCAATAGAATTCGATTTAGATTATTAGATGGAACTATTCAGTTCTTCCTTTTTGAGCCTTAAATACTCGATTCAGGCATTTTAGCCTACACTGTATATATGTAAATATTAAGTTTAATTAAAATTTATGGAAAACCCTCCAGGCCATGCATCTCATTTTGTATTATGAGTGATTCGACATTTGATCTAGAATACTTTCGTTTCACTAACAAAATAAAGGGAGGCAACGATATCTGTTTAGGTACACATGAACACGAATAGTTGTCATTTTCCATGGTATGGGGTAAATAGAATACAAAAAAAAGTAGTCCACGGGAAAGAGTCGAAGAACAGACTGATAAATTGCAAATTCAGTTCGAGTTTAAAAGACCTTACGTGTGACGTTAAAATCTGAATGTTCTCAGATTTTTTATTTATTTATTATTAGATTATTACTTATTTATTACTTTTAATTTCTTATTTGTTATTATTAGATTACTTATTTATTATTATTTATTTATTTATTCATATTTTAAAAATTTTTTGAAAATTCTTTTGTTAGCTACCCATTGGTAGCTTGTTTAAATTTTAAAGCGAATACCGCGAAAGGAATTCATTTGTGGTTGTTAACCGCTTATAAACCACAGTAAAAGAAAGGACATTTCATATGACTTAACTGCTTTTTTACGTTAAAAGCAAAAATAACGTGATTATGCAGTACTTTGGCTGAAATCATGATTTTTGCTACTATATCATCCCTTGAAACTGCGCTTATACGATAGGGTCAATGACGAATCAAATATAGTACTTTATCTTTTGACAAATATGCTAAAACACCGGAATCCCTTTCCTTCATACGTGCATGCAAGAAAGCAACAGATATTGCTCATCGTAAGATATTTTCTTGTTATTTATTTAATCTTGGCAATGTTATATAATATATACTGTGAATGAGTTTCCAGTGCAAAGTCTTCCGTATAATGTATGCATGGCCTGTGCTAGAGCCGGTGCGATCTGTGCGACTGCACCGATCAGCAGAATTTAGTTGCAAGAAAAGTTTTAGAATATAGAGAACATCCAGAGGCGTAGCTAGAGGGGGGCAAGGGGGGCATCTGTTCCCGGGTGCAGAATCCAAGGGGCGCCAAACTGATGTTACGACATTTTAGAATTAAATGTTTTCCATCCTTGGCAAGCAGTAGGGGGCGCGAAATCTTCAGTTGTCCCTGTGCGCTGAAAACCCTAGCTACGACTCTGAGAACATCGAAAAATTTAGGGATGGCAAAACTTTTCAAAATTAGGGGAGACGTTGGATAAAAAAATTTAAGGGTGGCCGAGATGATTAAATTTTAGAGAGGCGGCGGGCAGAAAAATTTAGTATACCCGCAGAGTTTGCATCGGGCGGCAAAATGCTTAGCGCCGGCCCTGTTTGTATGTGTGTATGTATTCCTAGAAATTTGGAAATACCTTGTATGTAATAAAGTTTGACTTCTTTTCTTTGTGTTTTTGGTCTAAACCAGCATAAATTAGCTGACATACATATTAGGTTGCTGGAAACGTTCTGACCATTTTAGAACTTCGTGGAAAATCTCTTCTTCAGAACCATCTCGAAATTTCTGCTCTGGAATTATGGTATAAAGGGACTTTATTGGGGCAACACAAAAGTGTATTTAGGTTAAACTCATTCTTTAAGCATCAGCTATGTTGCGTGCCTAAGCCTTTTGCCTGCCGCTATCTGCTATGCGGCTTCAAATCCGAGCTTATTGTTCCCGAATTGGTGTGCAAACTATTAGTTTGTAAAGTTTTTGCATCAAACTAGCCAGTTATTTTGATCTTTACTTTATCTTCTTTCCGTATTCCTCACCAGCATGCAAATTAACTTGTAGTGCTGAGGGCTTTTGAACCTTAATCAGAGAGAAAGTTTCTGGCTCTCTCAGAAGTCTGCCAGCTCTGTTTAAATGTAATTACTGTGGCATTTTTAAACTTACCCGTTGGTAAATTATTTGATCCATCTTGTAGCTTAGTTATTGCCAGTGTAGTCAGACTGATCAATATTTAAATTTATTTGACTGTTATGTAATTTAAATCGCCACACGCAGTGGTTACCTGTAGCAGGAGCCTAACCCCTTTAGGTTAAAAGGTCAGTTTAATAAAAAAGGTTGTTTAAAACCTTTCCAATTCTTCGTCATACTATTTCAGACATTAGCGATGACTCGCTACTTATGTAATAGGGTTGTAGGACTAAAGTTCGAGTTCAGTTCTACTATTACCTTGTAAGTTCACGGATTTTAATATTAGTAAAGACATTAAAGATCGGCCGTATTGAAGGCGGCGTTAGACTGTGGGTCGTAATAGACATTTTCGTAAGTGCACCTGCCTTTAGAAGATAGCATAGAGGTACACAGCATCAGTATCATTGATCACCTGCACGTCCTTGACATGAAGAGCAAGCTTCACCAATGGCATGATGTATCCATTTAAATCCGGAAATCTCTAATCTATTGTTTTGTCCTCACACTGAATCTTGTCGCCACAGGGGATGAAATATGGGGTCACAGCGTGAAGCCCGTGATGCCTAGGCACAACCAAAACAAGAATTTATCTACGTAAAATGTGTAGAAAGTGTTAAGAGTTTTCTGACAATTAGAAAAATCAGCTGTGGCCTTGTCGGAATTCGAACTGTGGATATTCCATTTGCTAGCTGGTTGTTCTAACTACTTGCACTGCAAGATTACACTAGATGAGAACGCGATGATTTTTTACATTATGTTTTACTTAAAAGGCGATTATGATTCAAGCAAATCCAGGTGGTGATGAGTTATCTATCGCATTTTAGTTCAGACACCACTGAACGAACTACTAGGATTTGGAGAGCAAAAAACGTGAAAAATCAACTGTGCATTCGCCACACATTGAACAACGAATCTTCCACTTGTTAAACGGATGTCCTACTCACTTACATAGCAAGAGCACATATGGGGGGGATGGAATATTCTTTTCAGAGGGTTTCACTTTCACGTAGCGTAGCTTTTTGAAAAGAAACCTTGCTAGTCGCAGGTTCATCTATAAACTGTACGATTAGCAACTATACTCTCTTATTGGCAAACTCTTTGCAACGTCTTTCGGTTCTTTTCGATTTCTGCTTGGCAGTGAAAGCTATCATACAATATTAATGACACCGTAATCTGCTGCTAAGAGGCTGTGAAATTTTCCTTACTCGCTGTGGGATTTAGAACCTTACACGACAAGCTGCATTTCCTGCTTGCCTGAGCTATATTCATAAAAGAAAAGCCCTAGTTAACGAAGCCAAGGTGAATGGTAAACTGGATGACTTCGTTGTTTTTAAGACAACTGCAATTTTACACTATTATGAAAGCAATAATAATATAAGCACGGGGTCAAGAACGTTGGAAAGTCATCAGTGCTGAGGATACTTAGTTAACGCAGTGGACATTCATGAATCGAGGCGAATAGAATGTTTCCAGCAATCTAGGATTTTTGATTTCTTGTTCTAAAGTAATTTTGTTCGATTTTAATTTCTTCTTGTTACTGAAGACTTTTTTTATCTTTCAGATGAATCCGCATTGCAAAGATAACGAACGTTTGCTGTTTTGCTGAAAAATGTATTTACCTATTAATAACTCATTGTATAACATCATAAAGCTGTGCATACTGTAAAAAAACATTGTATAAATAATTTTTTCGTATGTTTTCTGCTTTTTTTATTAATACAGATAACTATTAGTTTCTTTTATTTGAAATTTCCAAAATATATTTTGAACACTGATTTCATATCCTCAGATTTCACAAAGTACACTACAAGTAAATTATAGCACTAACAAAAATAATATAATAGCACTGCAAATGGGGAAACATTTATTTTAAAAAAAAGTAAAAGAAAAAATAAATTGATAAAATAACGAGAACTGAATAATCTAAATTCAGAATGAAATTCCGAAAAGCAGAAATTTTCTCTTTTGTCTGAAGAAGTTTAGAAAAAATTAGTAGCCAAGTTATAGACAGGTGCTTCAAAGATAATTTTATTGTCACCTGTACTTTTAAAATAATAATCTTGAGTGCATTTCACTTCTGGAGTGCGAAATATCCTAAGATAAATTAGAACGCATTTATTCTTGCTGTGCATTTAAAGTAATTTGAACCATCGTATTTGTATGTTTTAATGGCCGGTTTGTCAACTAAAGCTTGAATTCATTGTCAGTTTAAATTATTTCAATTTTAAAATAATGTCGGCGTAAATAATGGCGAGTTTTACCTTTCAATTATTCCGTAAAAATCAATCAAAACTTTTGTTAAATTGTCTGAATAATTGTTTTAATGTTTTCGTGTAGAATATTTTCTAAATACAAAATGCTTTAATACTAACCAATGCTTAATTTTAATTTAAAGGATAATTTACGCTAGAAGTCTTTCATATCATGAAAATCCATCCTTATTACAGCCAAAAATGAATTAGCAACGATAAAATTAATTAGAACTAGTCTGAAGATTGTGCTTATGAATTAAAATAATTTAAAAATATAAACAAAACTAGAAACCATTAACTTCAAGGGATCTCTGCGACTAAATATTCGATTTATTTGCTGAAATCAACTTTTCTTGCGTTTGGCAGCACCTGTACTATATCTGTCTGTTGTTGAGTGGTTTACTCTAATCTATCTTAAATAACAATATGCGTTTGACTTTTTACCCGAATGATGCATGTATGATCATACCAGCAAGCAAATACAAAATCATCTTTTACTTAACAGTCAAATTCCTAACGTCCTTTCACAAGTTGGTTTCTGCATCATCGTGCTGTCTTGCTAGCATAGTTACAAGCTAATACTTCAAGAGCATAATTTTAATGAGGTAATGAAAATATATATTTTGTACTCCATCCTGCATTTTAGAAACAACATTGAGAAGATATGTGAGCAGAGTGACCATTGTTAGGTACTTTCGTGCTAGATCTTACATGTTTTATAAACTTTTAGTGTTTTTGTCCGTTTGCCATTAGATCTAGTACTTTCTTTCTTACGAGTAATAATTTTGAAATAATATGAAAGTGAGTTAGACATATGAATTTACACCTCATCGTTAAATCAATAAATGATAGTATTTAATAGAGCAAATGTGTTTTAACTGCACGACAACCTACTGCTAAACTCCACTATTCATCCTTAATGAAGGCACACTTCTTTACATTTACCCTATAAAGTCTAAATTTAGATTATTGATTTTGGTTGGATATCGCTTTCTTGCTATTATTTCATCAGTAGGCAGGGCTTAATTTCTAAACTTAGAAGTGCAGGAGCCCTATGGAAGACAGTCAGGAAATGGGAGCAAGAATATATAAATAAACAAATAATCAAATCATTAATAATTAAATAATTATTTAAATTATTAAATAATTATTAAAACAATTAAATAATCAATGATTAAAGTAATCAAAAATTAATTAATTAGTTAACTCATTAAATAATCAATGATTAAAGTAATTAAAATTAAAATTGAACAAACGATTTTTGATGTAATTTTATTACTAAAAATAAAATTTTTGAGATCAGATTTCTGCCGAAAAATTGTTCAGTTACATAAAAGAAGTGCTAGGGCTCCGGTGCGCTCCGGCTAGAATGCGGATTTATTGCAAAAACTAATAAGTATCGCAGCAGGACTGCTATGGGCTCTGGCGCAATTTAAGCTCTGTCAGTAGGAAATAAAATGACTATGAAATATTTTATGAAATCCTAAGTTGTTATCAGTAGCATCAACTAAAATGATAAGTCCAGCTGCTTAGTGGCGGGCAAAACCTTCTTTTTGGGGGCGGGTGAAGCGGGATCGGATCAGAACCGTTCGCTGAGTGATCTGAATCAGTTCTTTGATTCACTGCTCACTAACGATAACCTCTCGGGAACGAGCAATGGATCAAGAGTGATATTCCAAGGTGGAGAACGAGTGAAAAGAATCGAACAAAGTGGGATTAAAAAAATCAAACCGCTTATTTCCTGGACTGATCTTTTTCAAGTGTAATTTTTTAATTTCCTAGAACTTTACATAGAACTAACAATAAACATCTGGAATAAAAGTAGTTAAAAAAGTTGGGAAATGATAAAGTTTACCTCACTTTTGCATGCGAGGATAATCATTTCTTCCTTTTCTAAAATCAGAATTGAACTTCTCTGGCATGTCTCAAACAAGAGCTCTTGGTGGGTGAACTCTGGTGGCTCCGTACCCACCAAGAGCTACTGCTCCGTTTTGTCAAATCACCGTTCTCTCACCCAGTAAAATGAATCGGTTCTTTGAATCAATTCTCGAGCGGTCCATCTCTACAGCCGAGAATGTTCAGTTTTTAGACGTAGAAAATATGTATCTGTGGGAGAGAGAGAAAGCTCTTTGCAAACGTAGGTGAGTGTGAAACTCTAGAACGAGACTGAAATACTTGTTGATCTGTGTTAAATTTATTTTGTTTCAAGTGCGTAAATTTCAAAGCTCACTTATTATTTAGGTCGTACAGAAATGAACGACACAAATGCTGCCACAGAGCGGAATACAATTTATTAACAAAATACTGATACTACATTAGATAGAAATAATCCCCGCGCATGTCATTACACTTCTGCCATCTGGTTGGGAGGTCCCGAAGGGCTTTGGTAAACCAGTCTGTGGGGGTGTCGGTGTACCACCTATGGGCAATTGCATGCAATTCGGCAGAAGATTCAACATGTTCGCCCTGAATGCGTCCTTCATCTTGTCAAGCAAGGCGTAGTCCGAGGTCCATCCACATTTGTAATCTCCAAATCACCATGCACAAGCGCCTGCAATGTTCCCTACGCAAGCCCTGTCTCTTCCTGCATCTTGTTGAACGTTATGCGCCTGTTTGCCATGATCAAATCCGACACGGCTGCCACATTTACTGCTGTATGCGATGTTGCTAGTCGTCCCATGCTGACACCTTTGGCTGCTGTCTCCACGCCTGCTGAACTTGGCCAACCAACGGGATACGACACGCCTTGCGGTTGCTTTGTTCCGGCACACCGACACCATGTGAGGATGAATATCACTAACATGTATCCGTTCCTTCCGTAGGAACCACGCTGACCAACGCTGACTGTGATAATCACCTTCCATCATTGCTGTTCACGTTCTGAATGGTGACAGCGAAAGGGACGGGCGCTGACTTATACCGTTCGGCCTGCGGTTATGCATTCTGAGTAGCTGACGTCCCAATGCATCTCTTTCACGTGTTTTCTCTTGGCATAGTGTAATAGTTTCGTTGTAAGAGCCGTTGTATCAATCATTTCTGTACGACCCATTAAAACTTTTGGCAATATTTAATTCTGAAGTTTACAAATCAGTCTGTTTTTACATTATGATGCCACTTGCCTTGAATTTAAATGCCCAAGTTTTATTGAAGTAAATAAAAATATGAAGAAGTTGACAGTGATTGGCATTTAATGAGGATTTATAAGCACTGGAAAAAATATAATATCCATAGTTTTATGGAATAAAAATTTTGAAATGAAAAATACTGTAGAAGAAGAAATGCTTCTTCATTAGCAGGGCTGGATTGACCGTTAAGCAATATAAGCATGCGCCAAAAAATTTTACAGTGCTAGTTTTACCATGGAATGTGTGGTGTAGTTAAATAAAATTCGAGAGAGGGAATGAAGGAAAAACTGGTGTATACATCATGGAGGTAGGAAATAAGATGGAGTAGCCCTAAACAGGTTTCTCCCGTACCCTGCTCTGAAGCACCGGCGATCCCTACGCGGTCACCAAATCATTGGGTCATTTACCATTAAGTTCAATGGGTTTTGACGCGATCGGATGTAAATATTTTGTAATTACGTCGTAAATATACATATAAACGTATATATTTTCTTTTTCTACAACACTTCAGAGTCCTAAGTATATGAAAACAACATATTTTTAAACAACATTTCATTCTGAATGGAATTAAATGCTATACTTTTCGCAGAACAGTTTTCTCAGATTGGTTTAATTTGAATGAAATATTTTCTCACGTTTTCGTTAATTACATTAGAAAAAAAAAATTAAGGTAATTCGATTTTATTCGGTTAAGGTACAAAAATTAAGATCAAATTTATTGCATTATTAATATTAAAATTATGCATTATTTCTTTTCTATTTATAGAGCTTCTTCCTAAAATACTTTCTTAAATATGACATGCTTTTTTGGCTTCTGAGCATCTTTTAAATCGAAAAATATAAGTCAATTTATAATTAATGCTCTATTCGGTTCATTTTAAATTAGAGAATTATTAGAAATTAGCGAAATACTTTAAATAGTACTTAACTTTCTCTGAACATTTCTGAAAGGGAATAAAATAAGGATTTTTTTAAAGTATTATTTAAAACTTGTAACTGAGTTATTATAAAATGTAAGGGGAATAATTCTTTTAATTATACTTATCAGATTTTTTTACCATTAATTTCAACAATACATATTCCAAAACTCTTTATTACTTTCTTAAGTGCGCATCTCATAGCATTTGCTTTACAATGCCTTTTAACAGATTGCTTTCCAGTACGAACAATTCTTGCTTAAATAGTTTTATAACGTATTTGTGAATAGGATTTCAATTTATGTTTACAATTCAATATTAAGGTTATTATATATTTAGATAACATTTATAATCATTATAAATTAGATACATTTAATAATTAGATTTCTTCACAGTTGTTC